TGTCATCCCCATAATCCCACCCCTCCCCTGACTCCTCTTTAAACAAACCAAAGTTTCTTCATTATTCCACACACCCCTGCCCTACTATGGATCAGCATCCAGTTATCAGAGAAAACATTTAGCTGTTTTATTTCATTGTCTTATTTCACTTAGCATGATATTCTCTAGTTCTGCAAATGCCATAATTTTATTCTTCTTTAAGGCTGAGTAATATTTCATTGTGTATATGTACCACATTTTCTTTATCAATTCATTGTTGAAGAACATCTAGGTTGGTTCCATAGTTAAGCTCTTGTGAATTGCTATAAAAATTAATGTGGTTGTGTCACTGTATTATCCTGATTTTAAGTCCTTTGGGTATAGACCAAGGAATGGGATAGCTGGGTCAAATGGTGGTTCCATTCCAAGTTTTCTGATGAATCTTTATACTGCTTTCCATAGTGGTTGCACCAATTTGCAGTCTCAACAGCAATGTATGAGTGTGCCTTTCTCCCCACATCCTCGCCAACACTTATTATTGCTTGTATTCTTGATAACTACCATTCTGACTGGAGTGAGATGGAATCATAGAGTAGTTTTGATTTGCGTTTGTCTAATTGCTAGAGATGATGAACATTTTTTCATATGTTTGTTGATCGATTGTATTTCTTCTGAGAAGTGTCTGTTCAGTTCCTTGGGACATTTATTGATTGGGTTATTTATTTTTTTGGTGTTAAGTTTTTGAGTTCTTTATATATCCTGGAAATTAGTGCTCTACCTGAGGTGTGTGTGGTAAAGATTTTCTCCCATTCTGTAGGGTCTCTTCATTTTACTGTTTTCTTTGCTGAGAATCTTTTTAGTTTGAATCCATCCCATTTATTTATGGATTTTTATTCTAACTGGTTATATACGACAGCGGAATACATTATAGTTCATATTACACATATAGAGCACAATTTTTCATGTCTCTGGTTGTACCCAAAGTATATTCATACCATTCGTGTCTTCATACATGTAACTTAGAGTAATGATGTCCATCTTATTCTACCGTCTTTTCTACTCCCATGTCATCTCCCTTCCCCTCCCTCCCCTATGCCCTATCTAGAGTTCGTCTAATCCTCCCATACTACCCCCCCAACCCCATTATGAGTCAGCCTCCTCATATTAGAGAAAACATTCAGCATTTGTTTTTTTGGGATTGGCTAACTTCACTTAGCATTATCTTATCCAACTCCATCCATTTACCTGAAAATGCCATGATTTTACTCTCTTTAATGCTGAGTAATATTCCATTGTGTATATATACCACAGTTTCTTTCTAGGTTGGTTCCACAGTTTAGCTATTGTGCATTGAGCTACTAAAAACACTGATGTAGCTGTGTCCTGTAATATGCTGTTTTTAAGTCCTTTCCATCCCATTTATTGATTCTTGATTTTACTTCTTGCACTTTAGGAATCTTGTTAAGGAAGTCATGTCCTAATTTGACATGATGAAGATTGGAGCCTACTTTTTCTTCTATTTACGCACAGGGTCTCTGTTCTAGTGCTTAAGTCTCTGATCCACTTTGAGTTGAGTTTTGCACAGGGTGAGAGATAGGGGTCTAATTTCATTTTTCTACATATGGATTTTTAATTTTCCAGTGCCATTTGTTGAAGAGGCTACCTTCCTCCAATATATATTTATGGTGCCTTTGTCTAGTGTGAGATAACTGTATTTATGTAGGTTTGTCTCCATGTCTTTATTCTGTATCGTTGGTCTGCTATGTTATTATTTCTTTGCATATGTTTTCTACCCCTTTAATGTTCTCAGGCCCCTCTTGAACTTCAATAACCTGAGTATTGCTCTTTTAAGACTTTCCCAAAGTTTCTGTAATCTTTCTTCAATTCCCTTCATTCTTTTTTTCTCCCCCAACTCTATATTTTCAAATAGTCTGTTTTGGAGCTTACTAATATCTCTTTTGTCTGATCCACTGTGCTATTAATGCCTTCTTTTATGTTTTGGATATGAGATATCTCCCAAAAGCTCCTCTGTTGATACGAGGATATTCACAGGTGAAATGACTGGATTATGAAAGCTATACTCTAATTAGTCCACCCTAGTTTGAATGGACTAACTGGGTGGTAACTATAGGCAGACAGGGCACAGTTGGAGAAGGTAAGTCACTGGGGACATTCCCTAGAATATACCCTTTCTCTCTCTGCTCCCTGGTCAACATGAGCAGAGTAGCACTCCTCTGCCATGTCCTTCTGCCATGATGTTCTGCCTTACCTTAGGCCCAGAACAATGGAGTCAACTGACTAGTAACCACTATGAAAGAACTCTCAGAGAATTGAAAACAGCTGTTTTAAGGGAACTCAATGAGCTTGATGAAAACACAGAGAAATTATTCAATATACTATTAGAAAATTTTTCTTTAATACTGTCTGAATGTTCACGGTTGGCCACTTTTTCTTTTAGCTCTGACATTTTGTCTTCAGCAATGCCTTCTCTATAAAAGAGACTTTAAACAGAACATTTTATTTTATTTATTGTGTCTTCATTTCCATGATTTTTGTTTGGTTGTTTTTCAATGTGTTTATCTCCTTATTGAATTTTTCACTGATATCCTGTACTGACTTCCTTAATTCATTCAGTTGGGTTTTTCTGTGTTCTCTTGGAATTCACTGATCATTTTTATAATCATTATTTTGAATTCTTCATCTGATAATTCATTCACTTCAATATCTTTGGGGTCAGTTGCTGATGAATGATGAACTTTAGGAGGTATCAGATTACCCTGTTTTTTCCAAACTTTTTGTATTTCTGTGTTGGGTTTATGCATCAGTTGGAAAGATTTCTCTTCCAATTTTACATATAGGCCTTTTTAGGGCACAGCTTTCTCTTGCCAATGTGTCCTAGAGTGATATAGATTGAGACCTCCCCCCCCCCCCCGTAGGTGTGGTATCCTCAGTCAGTATTAATTCTGTTTTTTTCTGTAGTAATACACATACACAAGTAGAACCTGACCACCCATCCCTAGCCATTCCTACTTGGAGCCTAGTCAGGAGTTTGGGCTTTTGTCTCTTCTTTGTATTAAAATATAGCTGAACTATGAATGTCATTAATTTTCATATGGACCAAGGTGCACAGTCTTTTGGATGAGTTTAGTTCAGTAGGTAAGTCTCTACCTTGTGAACTTGTAGTGCCCCTGTCATTTACTAGCACCTCACAGAAAAGGTGGAAACAAATAATAGCAACACTCAATGCAAACAATATACAGCATTAAAATAAGTACTAGGTACCTACTGTAACGTATACAATACTAATTACCATGAAAACAGGAATGGTAGGGTTAACAATTGCTACCAGCAAAAACAACAAATAACCATGAACTAGATCTGGCATTAAAGCAAATAGCAGGTGTCAACTATTTCATCCACAGCACTAATAACTGCAACAAACTGGTGAGGGTAGGAGTTACAAAAAAAACAATTAGTTCTGAAAGATGGTAACAATACAGTTCATTAAGAAAAAAGAAAATGTGATAGGAAGGTGCTGGAGTGGCCTAAGACTGAGGCTGCCTGAAAATCAGCTTCCCTTCTCCCCAGTATAAGGTACGATGGAGTGGGAAGTGCTGTCATTTGGAGCCTTGTCTCCACAGACCAGATTGGTGCACTTCCAGGGTGGAGTTGCTGCAGAGTTCTATAAGGGGAGTTCCTGGGGCTAGGGCTTAGGGTTTAGGTGTAATCAGGCCTTAGGGACTTTGCTGGGTGGAATCTTCTCTGAAGGGATTAGATCGACACACCCATAAGGCCTGGCAGCTGCCAATGTCTGCTGGGAATCCGAAACTCAGAAGCCTCCCAAAGATTGTAGAGCAGCAGAGCCAATTTTGCATATCCTGTGCTGCCCACAAACACAGCTTTCCCAGGCTTAGTCCCTAAGTGTATTCATATTTACCTATTCAAATTCCCAACATTCTTCAGCTTGTCACATATATTGTCAGACTCAAAGGAAATGTGAGTTAGGTTAACCTTCATTTTCCTGACTTTTCTATATCTAATGTTTTAGATATGTCTCTTATAAAAGGAATAGAATTGCTTTTTCCTTCTGATTAATCTGACAATTGTCATGTCTTAAATGGAATATCTACTTCATTCATGTTATAAATACTTTTGGATTTAAACCAGCCATCCTATCTTGCTATTTTTCCTGCCTATTTTGTTTCTTTATTTGCTTACTTCATTAGATTTATTGAGTATATTTTATCCCTTTATAGTCCCATTTTTTGGAATCCTACACTTCATTTATATTCTATTTCTTCCTGGTTACCCTGATAATTGTAATTTGCATCAAATTATCAAGGTTTAATGTTAATCAACACTTATATCTTCTACATGACAATTTTAGAATCCCTTATTCTACTTACCCCCATCCTGACTTTTCAGCTGTTGTCACATGTTCTAAACCTTTTATTTTTAAAAGTTTATTACTCAGACATTTTTTATAGTAACAGAAAGATGAATAATACATAACATCATGGTTAATTCTTAGTAAAAAGGAATATTTAAAATACCACGGATATGAACTGTTCTTTTTTCCATTACTCACTGGATAGTAAGACTTTCTCATGCTTACGAGTGTGTGTTGACTTATTAAGCAAATCCATATCAAAATTGAAGACCATCTGGATCACTAAACTTAAATGTCAATAAGGCTTGGAAATGTAGGTTGCTGATGAGTATACAGGCATAATTAAGAATTTCCTAAATAGCTCTCATTGTTTAGTCCTCTGATTCTTGTCATCATCCTGGTTGATGTCAACCCCAACGAGAAAAATCAATTCTTGGCTCTACACTTCCTTTCGTTGAAATTTTTCTTTCTAAGAGTCACTGTATTCTCCTACAATACCCCTTATAGCATCCTGTTATTATAGGTACTGAGTGATTTTACCCTGAAATTTTAGCCACATATAAACCTGGTCATATATCTAAATGTCAAGCTCTAGGAGAGGTTTTCTGTTTTTCTTGTGAGAACACCATACCTTTACTTTGCCATTCTGTAAAAAGAGAGTCCAGTGATGGCCATCTTGACTGCTGGAGATAAGGAACTCCTTCACAAACATGCTGGTAAGAAGAGATTTCACTCCTTGTGTGATTATTCCTGTGACTTTCATTGTCTTCTGGAAGTCCACTTGCAGCCACTCTTTTGGATTATTTACCTAAAGAAGGTGATACTGTACTAGTATTCTATTGGTTATCATTTGCTTCCAGAAATCCACAAATTTCTTTTTTAGCCTTATCCAGCGCTTACCACTCTACATCTTATAGTTTATCGGTCTCCCTTATTTGACTAAGAAACTTGAGAGCCAAAATTTTTCTTACTAATCCCTGTGTCGTCAGGGTCATCTACTTAATAAGTGCTCAGTAAATTCTGAATGAATATAAAAGCCATATATAGGGGCTGGGATTGTGGCTCAGCAGTAAAGTGCTCACCTAGCACGTGCGAGGCCCTGGGTTCAATTCTCAGCACCACATATAAACAATAAAATAAAGGTATTGTGTCCAACTACAACTAAAAAATAAATATTAAAAAAAGCCATATGCAGACTGACTAGAGTATAAAAGTTTGGCAGTGTAGTATGCAAACTATTTTGTTTAAAATAAATCCCTGGAGGAGCAGAGACAATTCTATTCCCTCCCCTAAAAAAGGAACTAAGTAGGGCTGGGGATATAGCTCAGTTGATAAAGTGCTTGCCTCACATGCACAAGGCCCTGGGTTCAATCCCCAGTACATGCACACACTCTCAACTCAGTGACTGAACTGGGTGGCTCAGGAAAAAAAAAAAAAGAAAATACATATATATATTTTCCCAATGAAGTACATAGGACTATAAACTTTTCCTTTGATGTATTCAGAAACCTGGAAAGAAAGCTAATTGTTGATATTTATCTGTAAAACTAGACTTTAGCTACTTGTATTTTTAATATTTTTACTTATAGATGGACACAATGTCTTCATTTTATTATTTATCTATTGTTTAATGTGGTTCTGAGAATCAAACCTAGTGCTTCACACATACTAGGCAAGCACTCTACCACTGAGCCACAACCCCAGCTCGACTTTTTTTTAAAGATATTAGCCTAGTACTGGATACAGATTCTTCTTCCAGGAGGTCCAATTAAGGATCATCTCTCCCCAATGCATCTATGTGAAATCATGTACCACATCCATTACATGCCTGTAGGGGTGTCTGCCCATAATCAACCTTCCTAGATACTTTTTAGGAACAATATTTGAACAATCAAGCATTTCCACCAGTTTTCCCAACTCCTACCCCTTGCTCTATATCAGTTAAAAGGTAGGTAGATATGTTTCCTTTTACCTGAGGTCTCCAAGCATTAGTCCTTCCCTGAAGGTGAAGCCGGGCTTGTGAAGGAGACCAAGTGGCAAACATATTGGTAAAGTAGGATGAGGCAGTAATCTGTGCATCTGATATTAGTTTATTCTCCATTCCCAATGGTATGCTGCAACCTCAAAGAAGTCAAAGGAGAATGTTATCACAAAGACAGGCTGCAGCCTAGGTTCCATTGGACTACCTCTAATATCTAGGGCCACTATCATCATAATCATTTCCCAGGCATTAGCTTTTGCACAAATTCCCTTATTGTTAGCATGTTCCTGTTTTCTGGACAGTTCTCTTTAGCTGTTTGGCACTGAGTTTCCTTATTAACAGAATTACAGGAGGTGGTTACCGTGGGGGGAAATCCCATGGTTAGGGTAACAAATTCCTGGGTTTTCTTAGGACAGTGCTGGTTTTATTACTGATAGTTCTGTTTCCTGACAGAGAACCCCTCCTTTTAGTCTCAGGATAACAAGAACAGTTAGTCATCCTACCTAGGGCTGGGAAAGGAAAGGATACGAGATGACTTGGCACTTACTGTTTAAATCACAGCCTATCAACTCCATACGAAGAGTGCTGCGGATGCTATAATGAGTTGGGTGCAAACGAATGTACCGAGCAATAATTGGAGGATTAAAAATATTGTGTTTTATCCCAGATGAATCCACATTGCCAAAGAAAACCTATTGGGAGAGATTATCACAAATACATGGAAAGTGAATACAAAGTGAAAAGCAGTTCCTCCAATTGACATCTTTCTTCTAACTTTGCCTTGTACATCTGTCAATACTATCAAATATATTAAAACAAGGCTGGTAGCAGGGCACAGTGGCACATGTCTGTAATCCCAGCAGCTCAGGAGACTGAGACAGGAGGACCGTGGGTTCAAAGCCAGCCTCAGCAATGGCAAGGTGCTAAGCAACTCAGTGAGACCCTGTCTCTAAATAAAATACAAAATAGGGCTGGGGATGTGGTTCAGTGGCCAAGTGTCCCTGAGTTCAATCCCCAGTACCAAAAAAAAAAAAAATAGAAGGCTGTCTAGACAGATGTTAGGATAATATACATGAAGGAGAAAAGCATCAGGAAGAAGAATGGAACAAGATTAGGTCTTCTCTGGGGACAATGAAGCCATTTTCTACCTTGGGTCTCTGTAAAAGACTCATAAAAGAAGTTGAGAAAGCCATTTATGATTTTGTACTCCAACATGGTATCAACTGGGAGCAAAAAGACATGCATTATCAGGAGAGTTACATCAGTAAGTTGGTAGAACAGGAGGTCCTTAATTGTCATTCCCCACAAAGGAACAATGATGTGGCACTTATCTGTGGATAAAAGTACCTTTGTGGGAGTCTTGGGAATCAGGTAAAGGTTAAAGAGCCACATTTAGCCCCAAACCAAGTATGGCTCCTTTTATAAGGCAGACCTTCATCTTGGTGGCAAGCTTGCCAACTACAGTCTTGGCTACAAACTCAGAAGCAGGCTAACCCCTGTGGATTGAGGTTCAGCCCCACTTGTGTGTGGTCTTGACACAAGTTCCATTCACTCAGGGACCTGGTAGGGTCATCTTCCACTGGCATTCCCAAGTAAATGTGTCTAGGGTTTGGAAGTGGTTTGTCCCAAGGGTTCATGTGTTGGAAGCTTGGTCCCTAGTGTGGTGATACTAAGAAGTGGCAGAGCCTTTTAGAGTGGGAGCCTAGTGGGAAGTCACTGGGGTCATTGCTTTTGGAAGGGATTAAGGTAGTTTTCATGAGATCCCTGTTATTCTCACAAGGCTGAGTTATTATGGCTGAACAAGCCTGGCCCCTGAATTATTCACTGGTTTCTCATATTGTCACATCTTTACCTCTCATATACCACTCCTACTACTGTGATGCTCTTTGTAATTTTGGTCATCAGAGATAAGCCAGGCCACTGAACCTCCAGAACTATGAGCTAAATAAAGTATTTTATTTATAAAGTTTGTAGCTTCTGGCATTTTGTGATAATAACAGAAAATGGACTAGTACAGAGGCCCACCTATTGTGGACTTTCAAACAGACCTGTGACTCAGCTCTAGCCATGTACTACTATAGTGTGAAGGTACTTCTGCTTGCCCAGGAAACTGGTGGAAGCTATGTTAGTCCATGCCCCCAGAAAAAGGCCTGTGAAGTAGACCTGAACATGGACCCAGAATCAGTGTTGTGACCCAGCTCCAGTATTGGTGTTACTACAGTCTGGAGGAAATTCTGTCTATACATAGACCTAGTGGGAGTCATATTCGTTTGTTTCCCTAAAAACAGGCCAGCTGATCAGGGGACCCTGAAGCAGTACTGTGATCCAGTTCCAGATCTGCTCCACCATGGTCCACAGGCAGTTCTATTTATTTAGGGACCCAGCAGGAGGTATAGTCCTAGTAACAGGCCTACTGTTTGAGGGTCCTACTGTAGATTCAGAAGAAACCATCCAAATGCACATGTATCACTACAAGGCTATATAGATCATAAAGAATGTGGCAAACATAGTACCATCAAAGGAAACTAATAAAACTCCAGTAATCAGTGCTAACAAAATGAAAATCCATGAATTATTTTTTTAATATTCATTTTTTTAGTTGTAGGTGGACATAATATCTTTATTTCATTTTTGCTTTTTTATGTGGTGCTGAGGATTGAAACCAGTGCCTCATGAGTGCTAGACAAGCGCTCTACCACTGAGTCACAACTCCAGCCTCTCTATGAATTTTTTAACAAAGAATTCAAGATAATTGTTCAAAGAAGTTCAGTGAGGGGCTGGGGGATGTAGCTCAGTGAGAAAGTGCTTGTTTGTCTTGCTTACATGATCACAGTCCTGGGATCAATCCCAAGTACCAGCAAAAAAAAAGAATTAATTTGACGATATAGGAGACTAGAGAACACAGATAATTAAGAAAATCAGGAATATATGAACAAAATGAGAAGTTTAATAAAGAAATAAAAACTATTAAAAAGAACCAAACTGAAATATTGACTGTACAGAAAAATTTAAAAGCGGCTTTTGAGAACACATGTAATGTTGCAAAAGACGGAATAAATACACTTGAATACAGATGACTTAAAATTGTTCATTTAGAGGAACAAAAAAGAAATAAAAAAGAAACAGTGAAGAAAGCATATGGGACTTATGAGATATTATCAAGCAAAATAATTGACAGATTATAGGAGTCTTAAAACTTGAGAAAAAGGACAAAAGAAGGTTATTTAAAGAAATAATGGAATAGAGTTCCAAAGAGAGAACCAGCATGAAGAAAAAAAGGGGGATGCTACCGACCTGTGCTATGACAGTCTCCCGGAGTCCCAGCAACAAGATGGTACCACACCCAACTTCTCTAGGCACACATCATGCCACAGCGCCAACATAACAAGGTGCTGCATCTCAGCTAGGCCAGGTTTTCCCTCATCCCCAGCCCTGGGATCATCGTTCCTGCGCTGCCATGTTACACCTGGCAGTGCCAACCTGGCTGCAGTGGGAAGGAGAACAGAGAGACCTACGGACAGGTGGGTGCAGAGGCCAGGTTGTGGGGGCAAAAGGGTTTGAGGGGAGGACTATGGTGGGCCATTCTTCAGTCCCCACCATCCTTCGTGAGCTCCGGCCTTAAGAGTTCTGCACCTGGAAAACCCTCACCCCCCGCCTCTGCACGGGGGCTTCGGGTTTCCTTTTCTGTGGTTGGGGAGCTGCTCTTTGTCTAGTGAGCACCAGCCTGGATGGCTACGCAGAGCCCACAGTTGGTAGAACGTGATTTTTGTCCTTCCCAAGAGCTTGGTGGGCGCCCTTACTACTTGATACATATTTAGATCAGTTTGTGTACATTTCAGTTCTGATCCCATGGATCAGTATGGACCTTTTCTATGTTGTCGGTGAAATCATGTGACATGTGATGAAGAAAACCATTCCACAAATTACTTTATAACCCAGAGTATATGATGATTCATACTTAAAAAGAGAATGCAGATTTGGAATGTAATTGTTTTCTTTTTTGGTTAGCTTCTGTCTCTCCAAGAGACAACTGTTTTGTAAACATTCTGTGGGAGCTGCGTAATTGTTACCATAATTGCAGCCATTTACTTTCCCCTATTCTCACTTTATGAATATTGTTCTTATTCCCAAGAAATAGAAAAACTAGCCTGAAATAAAACCTACTGTCCTGCAGACGTGCTGGCCTCTCCCTGTTCTCTCCTTGAGAAGATAAAGGGAGATGCCGGTTTCCCTGTGCTCCTCTGAGAGATACGAAAACTGCCTGTCTGTGTTCCCAAGAAACAAACTTGCCTTCCACAATATCAGGAGATGCTTACTTTGTCTGTCAGGACTAATCCCACGCCTAGCCCACGGCCATGATTCCAGCCTCGAAAAGATGATATTAAAGGGGAGTTGCTGCTGCTCTCCCTCCTTGCTGCTGCTGTCCCTCTCTCTGCGCACAGCAGCCTTCTCAAGCTCCTGACAATGAAACGGCTTCCTATCCCAGGGGTGTGTGTGATTAGTCCTGCACCACTTTTCTTTCACTAATGACAATAGGGAAATTCAACAAATGACATCCTCTGTTTTTTTTTTTTTTTTTGACAATAAAATATACTTAAATTCTCAAAAAAAAAAAAAAAAAGGAAAAGGACAAGAATAAAAAATAATGGATGAGAACTTTACAAACTTTCCAAATATAGGGTGGGAAATGCACATCTCAATTAATAAAATCCAGAGGTTTTATTACTGATAGTCTTTGTCCTGTTATAAATATTTATTTTAATTACATTACAAAAGTCAACATCACAAAATTAAATGATCAAAAAACAAACAAAAATTTGACAGCAAGATAAAACTTACTTATCATATATAAGGAACCTTTCATAAATTACAGTACATTTCTCAGCAGAAATATTGCAGGCCAGGAAAGAGCAGGATGATATATTCAAAGTACGGAAACAAACAAATCCTGCCAAGAATACTTTTCTTGAAAAACTGTCCTTTAACAATAAAGAATAGGTAAAGACATCCAAACTCAATCACTAAAGAGGTTTGCTACTCCCGTACCTGCCTTCTACTTGAAATAAAAACACACTAAACAACAACACAATCCCTAATGATATGTATGCAGACAACTTCAATCAAGAACCACTATAAACTAAATTTGACAACACATTAAAATAATTATAATACATGAACTGGGATATATCCTTACAATGCAAGGGTGATTCAACATATACAACTCAACAACATGATATGCTGCTTTAAAATAATAAAACATAAAACACCACAATTATCTCAATAGGTACATAAAAAGCATTTGACAAAATTCAACATCTATTATAATGGAAATTAAAGACAACACAGATAAGTAAAAGAGATCCCATATTCATGGATCAAGAGAATTTCTCTTGTTAGGATATCCATACTACCTAATCTGTAGATTCATTAAAATCCCTATCAAAATCCCAACAACATTTTGTTACAAAAATAGGGGGGAAATCATAAAATTCATGTGGAACCACAAAAGACCCTGAAAGTCAAAGAAATATGGAGCAAGAAAAGAAAAACTTACAGGTGTCATACTTCCTAATTTCAATATATATTACAAGCCTATAGTAATTGTGACAGTACACTATTGTCATTAAAATAGATGTTATTAATCAATGGAACACAGAACACAAAAAAATTACGCACTTACTGTCAAAAGATT